TATTCCACCATGAGCCCATCCACAGGCATGTTTAACTTACCAGTTGTTCTTTGGCCAGAACATACAAGGCTGCTGCCAGATGCATCTCTGTTCACAGATCCTTCTGTGTTAGCCTATTTGCTTGCTTATGTGAAAGGTTAAAAATAGAGATAGAGGTAGAGATGATAGAGATGATAGAGATATAGAGAGAGATAGTGAGAGAGAGAGAGAGAGGGAGAAGGTGAGACATCTGGTACACTCCCACAAATGGCCACCATGGCCAGGGCTGGGCCATGATGAACCCAGGAACCAGGAGCTTCTTCCAGGTGCCTAAGACTTGGGATAGCCTCTGATACCACCCCCCAGGCCATTATCAGGGAGTTGGATTGGAACTGGAGTGGCTAAGACTCAAACTGGTGCCCATATGAGATGCTGGGGTCACAGGCGGCAGCTGTACCTGCTGCACCACAATGCTGGTCTCACCAGTGTCTTTATATTATGAAATCTGCTTCCATTAATCTACTTCAGCCATCCACTGCTGCCTTTCCAGACCCATTAGCAGGAAGCTCGATTCAGAAGCATATAGAGTACCCAGGACCCGACTTGGCACTCTGGTGTGAGATGCCAACATCTCAAGCAACCGCTAATCCAACCATGCCACAAAACACCCCACCTCAATTGTTTTTGTCATTCATCATCAGGATTTGGGATTTTACACACACACACACACACGCACACACACACACACACACACATTCTGTCACCTGATCACATGAACCCTGAATGTAACAGCCAGGGTAAGTGCAATCTCCTGTGTAATATGATGTTTTCTCAGTTCAGTTTCTCAGCTATAGCACAGGGACAGGTAGTAAAAGGTGGTAAAAGGCTTCATTCATACATGTTGTGATGCCAGGACTAGTGTGGTAACACAGCGGGTTAAGGCAGATTCTGCTGTCATATATCAGGTGTACCCCGATACATGACAGGCACCCTGAAGAAGCTCTTTAAAAGGAAAAAAAAAATCCAGCATTTGGGACAGCAGCTTCTCAGATCAGTGTGGGCTCTTCCTCCTTCCTGCTAAGATGTCTTGCCTTGATTGATTTAGAATGTAGACTTACAGAGAGGAAAGGTAGGGAAGGAGGTAGGGAGGTAGGGGTGTGTGTGTGTGTGTGTGTGTGTGTGTGTGTGTGTGTGTGTGTGAAAAGGACAAGGTACTCCCAGGATCTATTCATCAGAAACTATATGTTTAGCAGAGCAGCCAGGCAGAACCTAAAGCAGCACTCCTCTGTGGGGTGTGTGCATCCCAAGCATAACTCACAAGGGCATAATGACCACCTGCCCCACTCACTCTGCCTTGCAATCTTCCTTTAAGAAAAAGAAGCAAGCTGTGATTTTTTTCATGTTGTGTCACATGCCATGCCCATTGTCTGAATCTCCTCCCTCTACATGGTCAATATTTTATCACAATTTTCACTTCTAATCCTTTTTTTTTTTTAGATATTTATTTTTTTCAGGCAGAGTTACAGAGAGGCAGAGGTCTCCCACGTACCAGTTCACATCCCAGGTGGCTGAAACACCCTGAGTTGCACCGATATGAACCCAGGAGCCTGAGCTTTTTCCATGTCTCCCATGGGAGTGCAGAGGCAGAAGGACTCAGGCCTCCTTTTACTGTTTTTGCAGACCATAGCAGAGAGCAGCCAGCTGGGATGGGATTCAAATGGAAGCCCATATGGGATGCTGGCACTGCTCGTGGCAGTTTTACCTGCTACACCACAGCACAGGCCCCCTAATAATAATCATAATAATAATAATAATAATTCTTTTTAAGATTTTTATCTTTTTTTTTTTCTGGAGAGTCAGAGTTACAGAGAGTCCTTCCATCTCAAACTGGAGTCACAGATAGATGCTTAACCTACTATGCCCCAGGGTCAGCCCAACCCCCCCACCTTCAGAGACTTAGTTGGCCAATTCTCTTTTAAATTTAATGTACTCTTATTTATGTGAAAGAGTTGTGGGGTGACTGGCTGAGAGTTGGGAGAGGAAGAGAGATCTTCCATCTGCTGGATGGGCTCTGGGTGGCCAGGGCAAATCCAGGAGGCAGGTGCCGGGAGCTTCATCTGTTCCACATCTCCCAGCTGGTCCAAGTAGTGGGTCAATCTTCCCGTGGCTTTCCAGGTGAATTAGCAAGGAGCTGGATTGGAAATGGAGGAGGAGGGACTGGAAATAGACCTCATATTAGCGGATCACGGAGTCACAGCTGAGCTGAGCCCCCTTAAGATTTTTTTTTTTTTGACAGGCAGAGTGGACAGTGAGAGAGAGAGAGAGGTCTTCCTTTTCCGTTGGTTCACCCGCCAAGGGCTGCTGTGGCTGTTGCACCACAGCGATCCGAAGCCAGGAGCCAGGTGCTTCTCCTGGTCTCCCTTATAGGTGCAGGGCCCAAGGACTTGGGCCATCCTCCACTGCCTTCCCGGGCCACAGCGGAGAGCTGGACTGGAAGGTGAGCAACCGGGACAGAATCCGGTGCCCCAACTGGGACTAGAACCCGGTGTGCCGGCGCTGCAGGCAGAGGATTAGCCTAGTGAGCTGTGGCGCCAGCCCAAGACTTTTTTTTTTTTTTTAAGATTACACTGTACTGGGCCCAATCCAGCTCTCTGCTATGGCCTCCCACGTGGGAGACTGGGAAGAAGCTCCTGGCTCCTGGCTCCTGGCTTCGGAGCAGCACAGCTGGGGAGTGAACCCGGGGACGGAAGACTCTGTCTCTCTCTGCCTCTGCCTCTCTGTAACTCTGTTTTAAATAAATAAATAAATCTTTCCTTCCTTCCTTTCTTTCAAATAAATAGATCTTATAAAAGAAAAATTCCTGAAGTCAGGTACCCTGGAGAAGCTCTTTAAAAAAAAAAAAAGACACCATTTGGGACATCAGCATCTCATATCAGATCGTGGAGCCACACACACAGGCAGGCAGATGCTTAACCTACTATGCCCCAGGGCCAGCTCATCCCCCCCCCCTTTCAGAGATTTAGTTAGCCAATTCTTTTTAAAATTAATTTACTCTTATGTATGTGGAAAAGTTATGGGGTAACAGGCTGAGGGTTGGGAGAGGAAGAGAGATCTTCCATCTGCTGGATGGGCTCTGGGTGGCCAGGGCAAATCCAGGAGGCAGGTGCTGGGAGCTTCATCTGTTCCACTTCTCCCAGCTGGTCCAAGTAGTGGGTCAATCTTCCCGTGGCTTTCCAGGTGAATTAGCAAGGAGCTGGATTGGAAATGGAGGAGGAGAGACTGGAAATAGATCTCATATTAGCGGATCACGGAGTCACAGCTGAGCCGAGTTCCCTTAAGATTTTTTTTTTTAAAGAAAGATTGCACTGGGGGCCAGCGCTGCGGTGCAGTAGGTTAACGCCTTGGCCCGAAGCGCCAGCATCCCATATGTGCACCAGTTTGAGTCCTGGCTGCTCCTCTTCCAATCCAGCTCTCTGCTATGGCCTGGGAAAGCAGTGGAAGATGGCCCAAGCCCTTGAGCCTCTATACCCCCTGTGGGAGACCCAGAAGAAGCTCCTGGCTCCTGGCTTCAGATCAGCACAGTTCCAGCCATTGCAGCCCATTGGGGAGTGAACCATCAGACAAAAGACCTCTCTCACTTTCTCTGCCTCTCCTCTCTCTGTGTGTGTAACTCTTTCAAGTGAATAAATAAATAAATAAATTTTTCTTAAAGATTTATTTATTTACTTGAAAGTCAGAGTCACACAGAGAGAGGAGAGGCAGAGAGAGGTCTTCTGTCTGATGGCACTCCTATGGGATGCTGGTGCTTCAGGCCAGGGTGTTAACCCGCTGCACTGCAGCACCAGCCCCAAATAAATAAATCTTTTAAAATTAAAAAAAATGAAGATTGCACTGTATTGGGGCCAATCCAGCTCTCTGCTATGGCCTGGGAAAGCAGCAGAAGATGGCCCAAGTCCTTGGGCCCCTGCACCCATGTGGGTGACCTGGAAGAAGCTCCTGGCTCCTGGCTTTGGATCAGCATAGCTCCAGCCATAGCAGCCATCTGGAGGTGAACCAGGGGATGGAAGACTCTGTCTCTGTCTCTGCCTCTCTATAACTCATTCCAATACGTAAATAAAAAAAAAATCAACCTTTCTTCCTTTCTTCCTTTCTAATAAATAGATCTTATGAAAGAAAAATTCCTGAAGACAGGTTCCCTGGAGAAGCTCTTTAAAAAAAAGAAAAAAAAAAAAGTCCGGCGCCACGGCTCACTAGGCTAATCCTCCGCCTTGTGGCGCCGGCACACCGGGTTCTAGTCCCAGTCAGGGCGCCGGATTCTGTCCCGGTTGCCCCTCTTCCAGGCCAGCTCTCTGCTGTGGCCAGGGAGTGCAGTGGAGGATGGCCCAAGTACTTGGGCCCTGCACCCCATGGGAGACCAGGAGAAGTACCTGGCTCCTACCATCGGATCAGCGCAGTGCGCCAGCTGCAGTGCGCTGGCCGCGGCGGCCATTGGAGGGTGAACCAACGGCAAAGGAAGACCTTTCTCTCTGTCTCTCTCTCTCTCTCACTATCCACTCTGCCTGCCAAAAAAAAAAAAAAAAAACACCATTTGGGACATCAGCATCTTATATCGGAGTGTGGGCTCTTCCTCCTTCTTGCTAAGATGTCCTGATCTGGTCCAGTCCCAGCTACTGTGGGGCACTTATTTCTTAAGATGGCTTGATTGATTTAGAACACCTAGTGTTCAATTTCTGCACCTAGTGACCTTCCTTTTAGATTCAAAATGGCTCTCGCTCTCCTAGTACTAAAGATTCCATTTTGAGTCCAAATGCATGATTTTTCTGGTACTCTGCCTTGGAAGGAAGGAAGGGTAATTTTTGATGCTCTGCCTCCAGATAAATCAATATTCTTTTAAAATTTTTATTTATTTTTTTGACAGGCAGAGTGGACAGTGAGAGAGAGAGACAGAGAGAAAGGTCTTCCTTTGCCGTTGGTTCACCCTGCAATGGCTGCCAGCGGCCAGCGCGCTGCAGGCCGGCGCACCGTGCTGATCCAAAGGCAGGAGCCAGCTGCTTCTCCTGGTCTCCCATGGGGTGCAGGGCCCAAGTACTTGGGCCATCCTCCACTGCACTCCCTGGCCACAGCAGAGAGCTGGCCTGGAAGAGGGGCAACCGGGACAGAATCCGGCATCCCAACCAGAAGACACACTCAAGAGAGGAAGAATATATTATTCACATTATTGATTATTTACAGGAAGGTGCATCAGATGAGATATGTAAATGATTTCATAACATATGTATTGTGTGTATGCAATGTATGATTTCTAAGGCTAATAGGTCTATTTTATCTTTCATCTGGATTCTATGTGGTGCATTTTTGGTTAAATATTCAAATAACAGAAGTTGTACAGAATATATATGTATTTATACACTATTATAAATATATCAATTTGTGATACTATCTGGACCAAAAGTAACTCCTAAACTAGTAGTTAAAATCAATTAAAATCTATGTTTTAAATATTTTCTCATAGTGTAAATCTAGAATTTTATTTAAATAATTTTACTTAACAAGTTTACTTAAATATTCTTAGAGGCCAACATTATGGTATAGTGAGATAAGTCACTGCTTGGGATGCCAGTATCCCACATCAGAGCATTGGTTCAAGTCCCAGTTGCTTTACTTCTGATCCACTTTGGCTAGTGTTCCTGGGAAGTGTTATGGGTCATGGAGGGGAGGGTGGTTACCTGAGAAAGCTCCATGTGTGCTTTTCCTCAGCTTAGCATAGAAATAAAAACATGGGAAACAATTTGCAAATAAGATGCAAAATCTTTATTTAGTTTGCAAAGCAACAGTAAGGCATCTAACCCAACAGGAGACCAGATGGAATGCCAGAGCAGGACTATGGCTTTCAGGAAGTGCCCAGGGTTTTTATGGCATTACTGCATTTTAATTGGGTCAATCAATGGGGGTGCCCATTGGACAGGGGCTTCACATAGTCTATGTTGATTGAACTGGGGCCACCCAAGGAGATAGTGGGGGTCTCCTGAAGTCAGCCAGAGTCCCCTTAGGGGCTCAGGCCTCTCCTGTACTAGCTCTGGGTAGAGGATTGACATTGTGGTTAGAACTACAGGCTCACACATACTGAACAGGAGGTTATCATGGGGGAGATGCCAGCAGGTATAACAAGCTTTCCAGCCACAGCTTGCAGCCTGCTTGCACAACATTTGCAACCTGATTATGTCAGAAATTCTTTCCTGTGTCTGAGAGGCCCACAGGCACTTGTCCCCCTCCCCGGATATTCTCAGGAAGGCAGCAAATTATGGCCCAAGTACTTGGCCCCTAGCCACCCTCATTGAAGACTCAGATGGAGTCTCTGGATACTAGGTTCAGCCTGGTCCAATCTCAGATGTTGGGAGCATTTGGGAAATAAACCACTAGATGGAAAATCTGCCTCTACCTTTCAGAAAAATATATACATTTAAAAAATAAATATTTAATTTTTAATATTTTTCAGTGGGAATTTTGTATAGAATATTGTTTTTTAAGATTTTTTAAAAGATTTTATTAATTTATTTGAGAGGTAGAATTACAGACAGTGAGAGGGAGAGACAGAGAGAAAGGTCTTCCTCCCATTGGTTCACTCTCCAAATGGTTGCAATGGCTGGAGCTGCACTGATCTGAAGCCAAGAACCAGATGCTTCTTCCTGGTCTCCCATGTGGGTGCAGGAGCCCAAAGACTTGGGCCATCTTCTACTGCATTTCCAGGCCATAGAAGAGAGCTGGATTGGAAGAGGAGCAGCCAGGACTAGAACCGGTGAACATATGAGATGCCAGTGCCACAGGCAGAGGATTATCCTATTGTGCTATGGCGCCAGCCCCCTAGAATATTCTGAGCCCTTATTTCATTTTGCTGTACTCTCAGCATTCTTTGAGTTAGCCATTGAGTGTGAAATGAGCTATTGTATAATGTAACACTGAAGACTGGGCAGCAGAATACTCTGGAACTTATAATTGCTCATGATAAATGGACAACAAGGACTAACACCTTGTTAGTGACTACTGCTGTCCCTCACCCTGTCCTGGATGACACCAAGTGTGACCACAGGGTTTCTGTGATTGGTTGACACACTGTGATCCCAGTCATCAGAATAGCTGGTGCTATTGACATTACTTCCCACAAGCAACTGAGAGCAGGTGATAAAATTAAGAACTTTTTGGGGAGGTGAGAAAAATAGGAGCACAGACACATAGGCACAACCTCAGATAGGCACATCTGCACATACAACAGAAAAGCAGCCCAAAGCTGCTGCATAGGCCTGCATCAAGTTAGGGATACTAGTGTTGCTTCCATCATACTAGAACTAAAAACACTCCAGGTCTTAGAAACCCAAATAAATTGATGATATACCTCTTAGAGTTGGAAGGGTTTTACTGTCAGCACATTTATAAGGCCTTCTCTGATTACTATTTTCTGTTTCTCACATTTTCTTCCCAAGACATTTGCCTGTAGAGATAATTCCATTTAGAAATGTCCTCTCCCTTTAAGTGTGTTTTGTTTATGGCCCTGCAAAAGCACTCATAATATAGATGAAAACTGACTCATTTCCTAAACTCTGGATTATTTATAGCTACCACTGAATAGTATATTCAAGATTTGGACATGTTATATGATGTGTGAAAACTTAAAATTAAAATTACAATTAAAAAACACACATGTTTCTCATGAAAATCTGAGAACTGTTAAAAGCATAAAACTGTAATGCATTCCACTGCATGTAATCATTCTATATTTATTTTGGAACACTGAATTATCTATTTTCATTCTATATGATCACCACATAATAGATAATTTGCTAGTGTTTACAAGAGAGGTACAACACTTTAACATATTTTTAAAGTCTTGATAACACAATGAACATAAATATTTAATGTAAAACTGTATGATTTTCTTAAAATCTTGGTAGCATTTTCAAATAATTTCTATTAATGATTTTTGGGAGAATCAGAAGAATGTGCATTTATGTGCATGTAGGTCCTCATGTATATGTATCTTTCTTAAAGTTAAGCAAATTATATTTCAGAGTAAAATGGATTTATAACACTATAATTCATGTTTTGTGGTATGTTGACAAAATATGATATCAATGTGTATCTCACATTAAATTTTTAATGTACATGGTAAGAACACTGAGAATTTATTTCTAGGAGATTATAATATAATTCTCTAGAGTTCTCATGCTGTTCACCAGATCTCTAAACTGATTAACCTTACAGAATTAAAACTTTATACCCAGACCAGGCATTTGGTGGAGCAGTTAAGATGCCACATGAGAGGCTCACATCCCTTATTAGAGGGTCTGGGTTTGAGCCCTGGCTCTGCACTAAATTCTGGAGTCATGCTAATACATGTTTGGAGGCAGCAGGTGATGGCTGAAGTTGTAGGTCTGTCACCACAGGGGAAACTTGGGTTGAGTCCCTGGCTCCTGTTTTGACTTGGCTAGCCCTAGGTATTGTGGGAATTTGGATAATAATCTAAAAGGATAAATTTCTGTCACTGCCTTTCAAATCAATAATGATTAAAAACAAATTCTACCCTAAGATCTACATCATTCCATCCTATCCCAGTAACCAATGTTCTGCACTGTTTCTATGTACAGCATTTGGATCCTAAAAATTCTACATATAATCAAGACCACAAAGCAATTTAAATATTTTTTCTATATCTGGTTTATACTCCAGATTCATCTGTGCTGTAGCAAATGGCTAAATAATTTTCTCTCAATAGCATTCCAATATAAAATATTTGATTCTCCATTTCTTTATTTATAATATTTCTTCATCCATCAGAGGTTACTTAGTGTGTTTTCATCTCTTGGTTACTGTAAAAATGCTGTAATAAACATGGGAGCACAGATATCTCTACCAGGTGATGACTGACTGATTTCTTTGCATATACACCCAGTAGAGTAATTGATGAGTCGTATAGTTATTCTATTTTTACTTTTTGAGGAACTTTCATATTGTCTTCATACTGGCTGTACCCATGTACATTTCCACTAATTATATAGATGGGTTCTTATTTATCCAAATCCCTGACTACACTTGTCATCTCCTATCCTTTTGACAAAAGGCACTGTAAAAGAAGGTGAAATATTATTGAATATTTGACTTGCATTTACCTGGTATGTTAGTGATATTGAGCGTCTTTCTATATATCTGCTGCATTGCAAGAAAGTGGTTCTCTACTTATATATGTACTTTGCTATAACTTTATTTTCTATAACAAAAGATGCCAGAAGGTAATTATAATAGCATTATTTATTAAAACCCTTGCATATTTGTTTTTCCAGAAACTGGTTTGCAGCTCAGAAAAGAATAAAATATTTTTAAATAAAGATTCTTATTTGCTTTCTTATTTTTACAGATATTCCAAGGTTTGTGCTGTTCTTTGTCTCTTACATCATATAAAACTTTAAAAGACATTTCCTGTGTACTTCTTAGTTATTTTTATTTTTATTTCATCATACTATATCTTTTTATAAAAGGCACTTATTGTATAAATTAATGTAAAGTAGCCAAATCCAGCTATAAAGCAGCTTCAGAAACAAACCTGACCAAAAAGTTCCCAGTAACCAGGCATGATCCAATTGTAGTGGTTATTTGTATTTCACGAATATCAGAACTTCTTTCAGGAGCTGGCTATAAAAGAGAAGATGGCCCAAGTGCTTGGGCCCCTGCAACTGCATGGAGACCTGCTAAAAGGTCCTGGCTCCTGGCTTCAAATTGGTGCAGCTCTGGCAATTGTGGCCATCCGAGGAGTCAGTAGATGGAAGACCTCACTCTCTCTGCTTCTGCCTCTCTGTAACTGTGCCTTTCAAATAAATAAATAAATCTTCAAAAAAGTAATATAAATACAAAGTAAACAATAGTAATATTTATGGAAAAATGGCAAGGTCAGGTTGTTACATATCAATAGTAATCTGGAATGTAAATGACTTCAACTCTCCAGTTAAAAGATTCAGACTGGCTGAATTGATTAAAAACAAGAGCTCTCTATTTGCTGCTTAAAACGAACACATCTCACCAACAATATATACACAGAGACTGAAAAGTTATTCCATGCTAACAGAAAACAAAAAGAGCGGGTCAAGCCATCCTAATATCAGACAAAACAGACTTTAACTCAAAAATTGTTAAAAGAGGCAAAGATGGGCAGTATGTAATGATTAACAGATCAGTTCAACAGGAAGATGTCACTATATTAAATGTATGAACCCAATTACATCATACCTGGCTATTTTTTTTTTAACTTTTATTTAATGAATATAAATTTCCAAAGTACAGCTTATAGATTACAAAGGCTTCTCCCCCATAACATCCATCCCACATGCAACCCTCCCCTTTCCCACTCCCTCTCCCCTTCCATTCACATCAATAATTCATTTTCAATTCTCTTTATATACAGAAGATCAGTTTAGCATACATTAACTAAAGATTTCAACAGTTTGCTCCCACACAGAAACATAAAGTGAAAAATACTGTTTGAGTACTAGTTATAGAATTAAATCACAATATACAGCACACTAAGGACAAAGATCCTACATGAGGAGTAAGTGCACAGTGACTCCTGTTGTTGACTTAACAAATTGACACTCTTGTTTATGGCATCAGTAAACAACCTAGGCTCTTGTCTGCCAAGGCTGTGGAAGCCTCCTGAGATCACCGACTCTGATCATATTTAGAAAGCCATGGTCAAAGTGGAAGTTCTCTCCTCCCTTCAGAAAAAGGTACCTTCTTCGTTGACGACCTGTTCTTTCCACTGGGATCTCACTCGTGGAGATCTTTCATTTAGTATTTTTTTTTTTCCCCAGAGTGTCTTGGCTTTCCATGCCTGAAATACTCTCATGGGCTTTTCAGCCAGATCCAAATGCCTTAAGGGCTGATTATGAGGCCAGAGTGCTGTTTAGGACATCTGCCATTCTATGGGTCTGCTGTGTATCTCACTTCCCATGTTGGATCGTTCTCTCCCTTTTTGATTCTATCAGCTAGTATTTGCAGACACTAGTCTTGTTTATGTGATCCCTTTGGCTCTTAGTCCTATCATTATGATCAATTGTGAACAGAAATTGATCACCAGGACTAGTGAGATGGCATTGGTACATGTCACCTTGATGGGATTGAATTGCAATCCCCTGGTATGTTTCTAACTCTTCCGTTGAGGTAAGTCAGCTTGAGCATGTCCCGAATTGCACATCTCTTCCCTCTCTTATTCCCACTCTTATATTTAACAGCGATCACTTTTCAGTTATGTTTCAGCACTTAAGAAGAATTGTGTATTGATTACAGTATTCAACCAAAAGTATTAAGTAGAACAAACAAAAAAATACTAAGAGGGATACCATTAAGTTGTTCATCAACAGTCAGGGCGAGGCTTGATCAAGTCACCATTTCTCATAATGTTCATTTCACTTTAACAGGTTTCCTTTTTGGTGCTCAGTTAGTTGTCACCTATCAGGGAGAGAATATGGTATTTGTCCCTTTGGGATTGGCTTATTTCACTCAGCATAATGTTTTACAAATTCCTAACGGGGATCAGTTTTCAGTTAAAATTTAAGCACCTAAGAATAATTGTGTGTGAATTACAGAGTTCAACCAATGGTACAAGAACAAAAAAAAATACTAAAATGGATAAAGTATTACACTGTACATGAACTGTCAGGACAAGAGCTGATCAAGTCACTGTTTCTCATAGTGTCTATTACACTTCAACAAATTACCCCTTTGCTGCTCAGTTAGTTGTCGCTGATCAGGGAAAACATATGATATTTGTCTCTTTGCGACTGGCTTAATTTACTCAGCATGATGTTTTCCAAATTCCTCCATCTTTTTTTTAACTTTTATTTAATGAATATGAATTTCCAAAGTACAGCTTATAGATTACAATGGCTTCCCACTCCCATAACTTCCCTCCCACCTGCAACCCTCCCCTTTCCGACTCCCTCCCCCCTTCCATTCACATCAAGATTCATTTTCAATTCTCTTTATATACAGAAGATCAGTTTAGCATACATTAACTAAAGATTTCAACAGTTTGCACCCACATAGAAACACAAAGTGAAAAATACTGTTTGAGTACTAGTTATAGCATTAAATCACATTGTACAGCACATTAAGGACAGAGATCCTACATGAGGAGTAAGTGCACAGTGACTCCTGTTGTTGACTTAACAAATTGATACTCTTGTTTATGGCATCAGTAATCACCTTAGGCTCTTGTCATGAGTTTCCAAGGCTATGGAAGCCTTTTGAGTTCACCAACTCTGATCATATGTAGACAAGGTTGTATTCAAAGTGGAACTTCTCTCCTCCGTTCAGTGAAAGGTACCTCCTGCTTTGATGACCAGTTCTTTTCACTGGTTTCTCACTCGCAGAGAACTTTCATGTAGGTAAGTCAGCTTGAGCATGTCCTGAATTGCACATCTCTTCCCTCTCTTACTCCTAATCTTATATTTAACAGCGATCACTTTTCAGTTGAGTTTCAACACTTGAGAATAACTGTGTATTGATTACAGTATTCAACCAAAAGTATTAAGTAGAACAAATAAACAAAAAAATACTAAGAGGAATAACATTAAGTTGTTCATCAACAGTCAGGGCAAGGGCTGATCAAGTCACCATTTCTCATAGTGTTCATTTCACTTTAACAGGTTTCCTTTTTGGTGCTCAGTCAGTTGTCACCGATCAGGGAGAACATATGGTATTTGTCCTTTTTGGACTGGGTTATTTAACTCAGCATAATGTTTTCCAGATTCCTTACAGGGATCACTTTTCAGTTAAAATTTAAGCACCTAAGAATAATTGTGTGTGAATTACAGAGTTCAACCAATGGTACAAGAACAAAAAAAAACTAAAATGGATAAAGTATTACAAATTCCTCCACCTTGTTGCAAATGACTGGGTTTCGTTTTTTTTTTTTTTTTTTTGACTGCTGTATAGAATTCTATAGAGTACATTCCCATAATTTCTTTATCCAGTCTACTGTTGATGGGCATTTGGGTTGGTCCCAGGTCTTAGCTATTGTGAATTGAGCTGCAATAAACATTAATGTGCAGACAGCTTTTTGTTTGCCAATTTCATTTCCTTTGGGTAAATTCCAAGGAGTGGGATGGCTGGGTTGAATGGTAGGGTCACTGCTATTCAATATAGTTCTGGAAGTTCTAGCCAGAGCTATTAGGCAAGAAAAAGAAATTAAAGGGATACAAATTGGGAAGGAAGAACTCAAAATATCCCACTTTGCAAATGATATGATTCTTTACTTAGGGACCCAAAGAACTCTACTAAGAGACTATTGGAACTCATAGAAGAGTTTGGCAAATTAGTAGGGTATAAAATCAATGCACAAAAATAAATAGGCTTTGTATACACAGACAATGCCACGGCTGAGGAAGAACTTCTAAGATCAATCCCATTCACAATAGCTACAAAAACTATCAAATACCTTGGAATAAACTTAACCAAGGACGTTAAGGATCTCTATGATGAAAATTACAAAACCTTAAAAAAAGAAATAGAAGAGGATACCAAGAAATGGAAAAATCTTCCATGCTCATGGATTGGAAGAATCAATCTCATCAAAATGTCCATTCTCCCAAAAGCAATTCATAGATTCAATGCAATACCAATCAAGATACCGAAGACCTTCTTCTCAGATCTGGAAAAATTGGTGCTGAAATTCATATGGAGACACAGGAGACCTCGAATAGCTAAAGCAATGTTGTACAACAAAAACAAAGCTGGAGGCATCACAATACCAGATTTTGGGACATACTACAGGGCAGTTGTAATCAAAACAGCATGGTACTGGTACAGAAACAGATGGATAGACCAATGGAACAGAATAGAAACACCAGAAATCAATCCAAACATCTACAGCCAACTCATATTTGATCAAGGATCCAAAAGCAATCCCTGGGGGAAGGACAGTCTGTTCAATAAATGGTGCTGGGAAAATTGGATTTCCACGTGCAGAATCACAAAGCAAGTCCCCTACTTTTCATCTTACACAAAAATCCACTCAACATGGATTAAAGACTTAAATCTATGTCCTGGCACCATCAAATTATTAGAGAGCCTTGGAGAAACCCTGCAAGATATAGGTACCGGCAATGACTTCTTGGAAAACACCCAAGAAGCACAGGCAGTCAAGGCCAAAATTAACATTTGGGATTGCCTCAAATTGAGAAGTTTCTGTACTGCAAAAGAAACAGTCAGGAAAGTGAAGAGGCACCCAACAGAATGGGAAAATATATTTGCAAACTATGCAACAGATAAAGGGTTAATAACCAGAATCTACAAAGAGATCAAGAAACTCCACAAGATCAAAACAAACAACCCACTTAAGAGATGGGCCAAGGACCTCAATAGACATTTTTCAAAAGAGAAAATCCAAATGGCCAACAGACACATGAAAAAATGTTCAAGATCTCTAGTAATTAGGAAAATGCAAATCAAAACCACAATGAGGTTTCACCTCACCTTGGTCAAATTGGCTCACATTCAGAAATCTACCAACAATAGATGCTGGAGAGGATGTGGGGAAAAAGGGACACTAACCCACTGTTGGTGGGAATGCAAACTGGTTAATCCACTATGGAAGTCAGTCTGGAGATTCCTCAGAAACCTGGATATTCAGAATTCTTATATGAATATACAGCAAGGACCCTCAACACATTAATCTTAAATATAATTAATAAAATTTTGAGTAAAACCAGCCAATTTCATTTCAAGTTAGTCTTTCCAATTCAGGGAAGCAACAAAAGCAGGCTGTTTCTTCTAGAGTTATTCATCCCAGAGGCAACAAATAACAAAGAGAAAAAAGAAGAAACATCTGTGAGTTTGACTAAAAAATACAGTGACCCTATTACACTTGGCAAGTAAAAGTAGCCTAATGACTAAAACAATATCTCAATATTGGGAGAATAACTCTATATCCTGTTATGACCCACAGACTCTTGACCTTAGGCTAATAACATTTTCAATCATCTTTTGTGCAACTGTAAAGTGATAATAAGGGCAGGACAATTTATTTTCTAGTACACATAAAATCAACAGTATGTACTAATAAAGGATTTTAATCATAATGTTTTTTTTGAACATCAGGTTCTACTTACATTTTACTTAAAGTGGCCACATAATTTATCATTTTCACTGCAACTATTTTAAGAATGAAAGAGATAACTGATAGTAATTAGGTTGGAATTACAGGCATAAATTAGGACTGATTGAGGAATACCACACCAATTAGTATTGTCAGCAGAGAGATTTTATTTCTGTGTATCTTCAAGATCTTTGGTGATCTAGTGGCTAATTACTTAACCACTATGAAATAATAATATAATAATTAATAGCTCTCACTGTGATCAGCTATTTGTACTCTGCAATTAAATATATGAGAATAATATTATTGAATGCCTTGCACTTCTAAAATTGTAGGGGCCTCAGACTGCATATGTCAACTCAAGTTGCACTTGAATAATGTCCAATCTATAGATTAAGAAGTATGTCTGAGTTAGCACAGCTTTTAAATGGTGGAGTTGGGTCTTGAACCCAGGAAACAAAACTCCCAAACTCAGTGTTCTTTCTCCTACATCATGGACAGTCTCCTACTTGTTTCTTTGACCTTAAATCTAATAGAAAGTATTCCCTATACTGATTAAATAAAAAAACACCACCACAGAAATCTGTGTTAAAATATTTTGTATTTACAATCTTTGCAAAGTTGCTTTCTATATTTGGGAACTCAAAGTCATGCGGATTTGATCAAAGTTCTGCCACCATGGTCAAGTGAAACTTCAATCTTTATAGTGATTAAATTGGACTATTGGTTGATGAAAATAATTAAGTGTATTCACTGTAAAGTGAACTTGACTTTTGAAATTTATTGGCTCTGGGTAAACTATTTTACTTAGCCTGATTGTTACAACAGCATGAATGCTGTTGAATGCTAAGTACATTGCCCATGAAGTGGTCCTACCAGTGGGATCTTATCAAGGTCAAGGAAACCAGCAGAATGGATATTGTTAGGGATACCTGGACACTGAATCCACTTCTTCCTCCCCAGGTGCAGATACAGACTTGATATTTAGAGTTCCGTTCAAGAACTAGGATGACCATGTATATGTCAACATGGGCTTAACAGAAGTGCAAAAATTATTTGCGACCACCTGAAGAGAGATGGAAATTAAAAAAAAAAACTGTAGGAGGAAATGCTTGCACAGTAAGCAATGGGCTTTCCAGACCAGTGAGTCCCTACTACTGACAGCAGGTTCTCATGGCAGGAGGGAGACTAGAAAAATTATGTTAGGAGTATTACTGGGTTGAACCTTAAGGAATTACATAATTCAAATTATTTTGACCCACAAAAAAGTCAAATTCATGAAATTCATGAAATTCATGTGTTTTAACTAAATACCTATTTCAGCTCCATGACCTGGATGGTTATCCTGCAAAATTTGTTTCCTGCAAAATTTTAACCCAATTGAAACACATCTATTTCTTGTCAGTTTCCAGTGCAATGAATGGATGATACATCCCAACTCATGTGCTCAAAAGTATAAATAGATTGAAAAATTAGAACAGGGGTCAGCAAATTTTTCTATACAGCCCAGATAGTATATATTTTAGTCCTGTGGGCCCATCTGTCTCTATTTCTGTATTTTCTCACATCTGCCATTACAAACTAGAATCAACCAAAAACAGCCCCAAGCAATACATAAATAGGTGTACATAGCTCTATTCCAATAAAACTTTATTTATAAAATAGATGCCAGTCAGATCTAACATACAGACCATAGTTTGCCAACCCCAAGCTAGAATTTAAATGATCCAGTAAAAGAATAGCAGATACATCATCAAACAAGTAGGAAAATGTAACATTTGGTTGCAACAGAGGAATTACATGTGAAAAATATGGGGCGATATAGATAAAGGGGAAGAAAAGTAAATGGGTAAAATTGTCATCAAATTCTAATTAATGTAAATGTTCAAACCTAAGGAACAACTACCTTCAATAAGCATACACCAACATCAAAACCTAAAAAAAAAAGGTTACAAAAGCCACTATTATCTTAACAGTCACCTCCATTTCCAAAGGTCATCCAAATCAAGCCACTATTATCCTAACAGTCACCTCCATTTCCAAAGGTCATCCAAATCAAAGCTAGAAGAACCAAAATACCTGAACATCTGTGTTAGATGGTTCTTGCATGTTGCTTGTTCCTAATGTTGTATTTTCCCACCACAGGAGGGGTTCTCCACCATCTGGTGAAATAGGAAAACCAATATGGCCTGGGAGTGAGAAACCCTAAAGTAGAGTCCTACAGTTAGAATCAGAAGAAAATGTTCTAGTCTTTGATCAAAGGTTTCCATGTAAAAAATGAAGGGGTTAATTTATTACCATATATTCTACTAGCACATATATATTGTTGTTCTACACACTTAGTCTATTTATTCTTTCAACAATCCTATATGAGAAAAATAACACATTAAATTAAGATAAATTTCCACTTGAACTTTAAATGCATATATAAAGTACCAAACAGACACATGAACTTTTTAAAAAAGATTTTATTTATTCCTTTGATAGGTAGAATTACAGACGGAGAGAGAGAAAGGCAGACGGTCCTCTGCTGGTTCACTCTCAAAATGGGCCACAAAGGCTGGAGCTCAGCTGATCTGAAACCAGGAGCCAGTATCCTTTTTCTAGGTTTCCCATATGGGTGCAGGTGCCTAAGCACTTGAGCCATCTTTCACTGCTTTACCAGGCAATAAGCAGAGAGCTAGATCAGAAGAGGAACAGCTTGGGCATGAATAGGTGCCTTTATGGGATGCCAGTCCTGCAGGCAAAGGCTTTGCCTACTACACCACAGCACTGGCCCCATACAGGAACTTTTACTGCTAAGATCTATCAATAGGTACTGTTACCACCTTACTGAGAAAGCTTCCTCATTTCTCACATGTGACTTAACACTGTCATCTTCTATGGTTTAGGGTGACTGTATCCAGGCCAACACTCTGCTGGATATCAGCTTTTGTCTTCAGGGAGAAAACAGACACTATCCACTGTATAACTTAAAGCCAAGCTTAATTCAACTACAAAGCCAATTATAACTGGGCCACTGGGCACCAAGCGTATGCAGAATTGTAAGTCCTTTAAAATGAGCCAGTGATAATTAGCTCTGTGTTTTGCTTTTGGATTCGGGTCAGATTCATGGTGATCAGGGCCTTGGGTTCATGATTATTATCTTACACAGAGACCTAAATAGAATTACATTGAAGCCTTCATGGATCAGGTTCACATAGGCCATCTGCTCTGGGGAAATTTTGGCTTCTTCTTTTTTTTTTTTTTTGACAGGCAGAGTGGACAGTGAGAGAGAGACAGAGAGAAAGGTCTTCCTTTGCCATTGGTTCACCCTCCAATGGCCACCGTGGCTGGCACACTGTGCTGATCCGAAGGCAGGAGCCAGGTGCTTCTCCTGGTCTCCCATGTGGGTGCAGGGCCCAAACACCTGGGCCACCCTCCACTGCACTCCCTGGCCACAGCAGAGAGCTGGCCTGGAAGAGGGGCAACCAGGACAGAATCCGGAGCCCCAACCAGAACTAGAACCCAGTGTGCCGGCGTCACAAGGTGGAGGATTAGCCTGTTGAGCCATGGCACCAGCCTCTGGGGAAATTTTGGATGTGCTCTCAGCAGAACAAAAGAACCAGATTCCTGATCACTCATATTTCAATGCTGGCCCAAATCTGCCATTATGGAACCTGTAGATGTTCTGAAATTCAACTGACTCTATGATTTTTAAAGGGCTATTTTGTTCAGCACTATCAAAGTGAACAATATGGATGTGAGGCCAGATGTTTTGGATTCAATTGACTTCAGAATTAAAAATATCAAGGACATTGAGGAATAAGGTCCCATTTTTGTTTCTTTGAGTTCTTTCAATCAACTACAGTCTTTAGAATAATGTTGAAACAAAATTTATTCTCAGCAGCTAAAGCTTTGTTGCTTGTTTTCCTTCTACAATCCAGGGCACATAGCAAACAGTATTTAGATTTACAGAGTTGATACAAACCAGAAAAAGAGGGACCCTCCTTGAAATGATCTCAGTTTTTTTGTCTCTGCAAGGTTTGAACTGAGAATTTCCTGACTATAGGCTATTTGATATGATGTGTTCTGACAAAAACAGTGGAAACTCTTCTTGCCATCACAATTTTAAACGATACCAAGATAAACTTCAACATACCCACTAGTATGTCCAAGACCCATGAAGTATTACAAAGAGAACACCCAAGGAAATCATAAAAAAAACAATGAATTTACTTCTATTAATATTTATTTTAAAACAGAGAACTTCAATTATTACTGTTCAAATAACACCACGGATTTTTGAAACATTTATATATATATACTGTACATAAATGCATTTTAAAAGATTTATTTATTTATTTGAAAGGCAGTTATCCACACACACACACACACACACACACACACACACAGAACTTTCACTCACTGGTTCACTTCCCAAATGGCCACAAGGGCTAAAGTTGGGCCGGTCCAAAGTCAGGCAATTGTTCTGAGTCCCACACATGGGTGTAGAAGCCCAAGAACTTGTGCCATAACCTGCAGCTTTTCCAGGCACAGTAGCAGGGAGTTGGATCAGGAGTGAAGTAGCTGGACTCCAAAGGGCACCCATATGCAATGTTGGTATTACAGGCAATGACTTTACCCACTACTACTACACAATGCCAGCCCCCACATACACATTTTATATTTTACCTCTAAACTGCTTATTCAAAATTTAATAATAATTTCTCATAAAATAAATTTATATTTTAAAACAAAAATGGTTTACTACTCATAAATGTATCCCACATGATACAAATATTCTAGTGATTTAGTGCTTACTAATGTAAAAGATAATTTTCCCACTTTGTGACATGGTTATAAGATTTAAAACTGATTGTCTTGTCTATTGAGTTTACTTATTTTTTTTTTTGACAGGCAGAGTGGACAGTGAGAGAGAGACAGAGAAAGGTCTTCCTTTGCCGTTGGTTCACCCTCCAATGGCCGCTGTGGCCAGCGCGCTGCAGCCGGCGCACTGCGCTGATCCAATGGCAGGAGCCAGGTGCTTCTCCTGGTCTCCCATGGGGTGCAGGGCCCAAACACCTGGGCCACCCTCCACTGCACTCCCTGGCCACAGCAGAGAGCTGGCCTGGAAGAGGGGCAACCAGGACAGAATCCAGAACCCCGACAGGGACTAGAACCCAGTGTGCTGGCGCTGCAAGGTGGAGGATTAGCCTAGTGAGCTGCAGCGCCAGCCTAGAGTTTATTTATAATACATTTTATGTCATTAATTGAAAGCTTTGAAAATCTGTCAGTACCCAAAATATTCTCTCCCCCCAGGAAATCACTGAATTACACCATAGCTTGATGATTTATTATTCCTCAACAAAGCACTGAGTTCTCCATTCTGATGTTTATAATTACAATATGTTGACTACAGCCAGTTTTATCATTCTAAGATCATTTCTGCTTTATACAGAAAACTCTTGCTATCAAATATTAAGTCTTCCGGGGAAAAAGTTAAAAAGTTTAGAGCAGAGGTTTCTCAGTACAGGTTACAGTATTAGTACAAATATGGCAGACTATATAAACAGCTTAGCATATCACGTACAGGATTTCTTCATTTCTGAATCAGATGAATTTCTAGAATTATAAGGCTTAACCAACAACCATGAAATTAAGATAGACACCTACGACAATGACTGTTGACTTTCAATGTAATTTCTGTTAAGTACTTTAGCTGTGTTATTTATATTTCATCTTCTAGGACATAAAATACTTTATATAGATTATAATATTCAACAAGGCCAAAACTGTATATCAACCTTTAATTGTTGGGTTTATATGTTTGTCCTAGAAGACGATTCAGCTAGCTACAGTTATAATATTCATCCATAAAGTTAGTTTCCATGTCTGATTAACCTATAATTGTTAACTGTGTCAATAAAACATTTTAATACAACTATCATTTTAATGTTGATAATATTCATCAAACATGTAGATTTGGGGAGAAATGCAAGAAAGCTTACTTTTAAAAAGATTAAATTATGACAGTACTCCAGTGAAGCCATATAATATACTTACATAATTTTGATGATACCATAACATTAGGGGAATTAACTGGTTATGTTGCTTACTCATGAGGAAAATGGTCTTTGCCTAGTAGAACTAACTATACTCTCTTTTGTCTTGCTAAACTAGTCCCCAGACAGTGGATTTTCTAAAATTACTGATTGTGGTCATCCTGGTTTCATGAACTTATGTGAAGGTAATATAATCATATCACATATGCCTTAGTGAAAGAAAGGAGTCTGCTACCTACAAATAGATTTCACTTGGGGGTTTTACTACATCTACTAATCCTACAAGTACTTTGAAGGACCAAATAACTTTTTCATCCTCATGAACCCAGATACAGAAGTATAGTTTTTTAAGAGAGAAAAATAGATCTATCTCAAAAGAAATAGTTGCAGGGCATAGCCAATATGTTCTATCAGGAGTAGGAGAATATGTATGGGGTTGGGTCCTGAGGGTACAGGACAAAATTAGAAAAGGGGCATTTCTCAAAGTGAGAGCACTCATTGAAAACAAAGGATTTTACTGACTATCAAGAATTCCAAATGGTGATGGTAATGCTAGCATGACATCTGAAATTGAATAAAAATAATCCATGTTAAGTGAGGTATAAATACCTGAATTGCTGTGACAGAGAAACAATCGAAATCTCACAGTAATTATGCTTCAGTTATTAAATTAATACAGAAGTATATTTAAAATTGAAAAGCTTATAAAATGACTATTTTTCTACAAGAGGCCCAAAGACAATCCATTTATGAAACTTATAAAATGTGTGTTGGTGAGAAGGGCACTGTCATTGCTGAGTACCACAGAGGTGAATCTTCTCTCTAGGTCACTCCTGATGGTGGGAAATGTCATAAACACTGGGAACTCAGCAATTTGAATGCTAAGATTCCAAAACAATAATAATAGGGACTTGGTGGAAGTACTTAACTATTGAAGCAAGCTGTGTTCACTTTGAATAAGAATGAAATAGCAGCCAAGGGTACTTGATCAAGAGAGCTATGGAAATGCTTATTATAGCATGCATCCATAGAAACAACATGACTTCTCAGATAAAAAGGGCAGTGCTCAACTGATGCAATCTAAACACTTTAAGATCAGTTCATAAGACGAGTGAGAG